CTTTGACCACCAAATGGTGGTTTGTAAAAGGGGAATTAATTATCGTTCACCTGTCCATGCAAGCGATAAGTTCACTAAACATTGAGATATATTGATGAAACTTGGTACATGGATTCCTCTGATTGGTAGTGCAGACGAACAAAATCGGAGCACTCTCACAAAACGTATTGATCGTAAAATTATGAAACGCTATAAGTAACTCAGTCAAAACTTAATTTTTCAGTTGAAGGTAATCTGCGACAATTTTAGAACTGGGTATTCCCCACAAATAGTTACATTTAAAACAAGTCCAAGTGTATACCGCTCAGGTGAATACCGAAGGTTTAAGAATTTCAAACCATAGACCAAACTACTTCAACTCGTCTTGCCATCCTGATCATTTATATATATTGTACATAACCCTTTAACTATCTCGATTAGTTTTAGATGACACAAACAACCGTTAAGTGAACAAAACTATTATACTCTGCAGCAAGAAGAAATCGTGAATAAATTAGAATGAAATTGTATTGAAGGTCATTAAGTTAGACTAATTTTATTGCAATGTTTTAGTTCACATCAGCAAAAATTATAGTAAAAGCATCTTCAACTGAGATATTGGTATGTGATGTCAACTCGACCGAAGAGGCTAAATTTAATATATTGAGTTGCTGTGGAAAACACACCACCAGAGATTGGAATCCATTATATTAGGTATATGAGGTATAAATCAAGGTATAGACCAATTCCATTCTAATTAAACGGTAAACCACATAATTTTTAAGAAAACTTGTCCATTAAATTTCATTAAATATCACATTTTGATCAAACTAAACGGTTTAAAGTCAGGTGGAAAGACGGAAATAATTATATGGGGTATATTGGGGGCAAAGAAAGGGACTAGCTAATTGAGTTAATTTTGACATTGTTAAGGTATACTAGAAAAACGAGAATCATTAAATGGTATATACTTGTAGTATATGGGAGTTGAGAATGGTTGACCCGATTTTATCTATTTTTCCCAATACCACATATTATTAACATGCCACATACTAACAAAATGTTTCATGGATTTCATTAAGGTACCTCACATACCACCACCAATCCATATGGAATAAAGTCAGCCGTATGTCCGAAAAGTTTTCACCCGATGTTATCCATTTTAAGCACAAAGATACACTATTATAGATTAAGATAATGACATTTTGTTCTACTCCTCCTAGGAATTCAAGTCTAAATATCTGGGGATTCGCTAGTTTCATATATATGTATATAAGCTGTAAGTCTGTATATACTTAGTCTAAATATATCGAAGTAATGTTTTTAGTTTTAAGCTTTTCTTACCCATTAGAATATACTCCCTAATATATGCATGTGTACGGTGGCAGTTCCATATTTAATGTCTCACTTCTAAATTGCAAAATCAGTTGAAATGGTGTGAAAGTCAACTGTCTGGTCAAGTTATTTCAATTAACTACCGGAAAGTTCTATTGGTGCGCCAACAAACACACATATTAACTTGTTCTTGCATATAAAACTGTGCACCAGCTGAGCGCGTTCGTTCCGCCTCGTCCACCCATCTAATGTAATTTACATGAAACATGACTACTTAACACACTGCCATTCAATGAACATACTCGTAATAATTACGCGAGCGCCATAAAAAATATGCACAAACTTCTTCTTTTGGCCACAAAGTCGACTTCACGCCTCTGAACGGCCATTCCGGGTCAGCAGTACCGCCCTGCGACACATTGCACAATATATTTATGGCGATTTGAGAACTACATGAGTACCGCCACTTGTGTGTTGCCTAGTTTTATGACATTGCGGATACATGCATATACATACATAGTTACAATATGTGTTGGTATACGAATAAATATGCATATGTATGTAAGTGTGCAGATTTTTATGTGTTAGGGAATTCCTACCATATTTCTCTTTATGAAGAAGCGTCTACCGCAGAAAATGAGTCGCATAATTTGGCAGTCGCAAAGTTGTTCCTTATTGTTGGCACATTTATTTTAAATTATGCGTCGTACATTCATGCGTATGTATGGACCTTACTTGTTAGAATGACTATGGCTGAGGCAGTAAGTCACGTCGCAATACCTGTAGCTTAAAGCTTAAACGTGCTCGCAATGCTCTAACTATTTAGGTGTATGCCATTTTTTATACTTCTCGCCACTTACTCATATTTAGCACTGATTTAATTTAACTTGTGCATTAATTTGTACTGAAATATCAAATTTCTTTGGTTCCAACACAATCTTGTTTAAATTTAGGACTCGCTAAGTTCTGCGGTAGCCACGCAACCACTCTTTTTGATTACGATTTCAGCTAAAGTTGTAGAAACTAAAATAATTCACCTGTCCTTGTTTGTAATATTTCTCAGTCAGACTAGTTGATGCAAAAAGTCACTCGATAAGTTCGACGACAAATACCACTCTCTGATGAGATCATAGTCCTCTCTATAAGAGCGTCGAATTTAATAAAGAGTGTTTTTTAAATATTGGTGATTTCAAATGCAGGTTATTCGAACTAGTATTAAATTAAAAAATCCCGATGAAACTTTCAGTAATGGATTGGTCGACTTCGTTGAAGCCAGAAATGTTTTTTAGGAGCGATACACATGCAGTTCTGTCTTGTAAAGAGCGCGTGCCTAGCAACACAAGAAAACTTTAACACCAAAATGTTGTATATATACGCTTTATATGAATATTTATCTTCTTCAATCGTATCTAATATAAAACGGCTCTAATGGGTATTTCCATTTTTGCTAATTTTTTACAAAACAACTTAATTGTTGCAGAGATACATGTTGCACAGTCAAACATAGAAACATAACATATTTAGGTAATCGATATCATTTTCCTATCATAACAGACAGCATATTGAACAGGGTATATTAAGTTTTACACGAATTTTGTAACACCCAGAATGAAAAGTTGGAAAAATATATATACAAGTACATGATCAGCGCGACCAGCTGAGTTGATTTACCCATGCTGTCCGCCGATAACAAATCAAAATTAAATTCTTGTATGAAAAACTTTTTTGTTTCACAAAATATCTTCACGAGATTTCGTATAGATAATTGCCTAAGGCAACGCTAAGATATCTGAGGAAACTTTCCATATCGAATCACTATAGCATATATCTGCCAAACAAACTGAGCGATCCAAACGAAGTTAACGTTTCTTCTTTTTTTTTTGCTGGACTCGCCTTAGTTTGATCTTTCTTCAATGGTAATACGAAAAGCAAAGGTAATGTCAACCAGTGCAAAACAATGGATCAACTACATTATCATTGGACAAAGAAGTAAAAATGTATTTGTTAATGGACAAGCTCTTGAAAGCAGATATTATCGTCTAAGTAGTCATAGCATTTGCATCTTGACTTACTTTTACTGTCCCAAATAGGGAGTTGTAGATAATTTCGTATATCTTGCTACAAACACTAACACCAAAAATATTGGGAACGTTGAAATGCAACGATAAATCACACATGATATTCAAAAGAATGTAGATTCTATAGCTGCGAAAGCATTTAATGCGATACGATGGTGATAAAAATGACAAAAGCATAAATTGACTGATATGCTGAAATTGACTAATCCAATCAGATTTTGAGAATCCAATTGTCAAAATTCTCTTAATTTTTTTTGAATATTTAGTATTTTAACTGAGAGAGAAAGTTATATACTATCTTATGAGAGTAGTGAATGGTCAGATAACTATACACGGTAAGAAACTCTTTCTAGAAATTATGTTCAAACAGAGAGTTACGGAACACGACTGTGGTTCATAACTAAATAAGCTTAACTAGCTGATTAATTCAAAAAGTTGAAAAATAAATAGCATCGTATGAATAAATTTCTGGGCTGTGTCTACATATACTATGTTCTCAGATAATCAAAGTGTTTTCCGCCTCAATCGGGAAGAGAAGTTGTATATGAACCTTGGGATTACAATGATTTGTTCCATTCCATCGATTTGAAAATTTGCACACATCCTTTTCTCCCCCAGAAATTGCTCTTTTGTCGGAACCGCCGATATCAGACTACTATAGCATGTAGGTGTCATACATACTGAACGATCAGAATCAAGTTCTTGTAAGCAACTTTTTTATATTTGACAAAATGTCTATACGAGATTTCGCACGGAATATTATCCAAGGCAGTACTAAAATATCCGAGCAAATATTCTAGATCAAAGCAATATAGCATATACCACCAATCAAAATCAATCAAATCATTTAAATTATTGTATTTTGGAACAATAACAAAAAGTTGACACATAGCATTCCAATAAAGTGCCAAAAATACGCTCACATCCAAATAAAAAATGTATTAGAATAAGGTATATTTTATGAAATAAGCAAACGAATGAGATCTTTAAGACCCATTCCGCCAATTAAAATAGCTTTTATTTAGGTTTCTGTTAACAATAAGTGCATGTGTTTCTATGAGATATTATTAAATTTCATTGATTTTCTGTTACCAGAGTGTTGAATGTCATTACCAAAGGTATTGCGTAGTTAGATACACGCAAACAAACATACTTTGTAATGCTCAAAATAGTCACATAAGTCCACAGAAGAACAAGCATAAGCGCCCAGAGTTGTACATATATGCAAACAGAGGCTCAAATTCTCCAAATGTACCGCAAGCCAGAGGCCACACAGCGCATTTTACGCCCACACAGTGGCTCAGCCCATTGCACCCTCTCATATATGTATGTGTGTATATGTCGAACTCAATTTCGGTCAAACTGACCAGGCTGCACGCCAGCAATTGTGAAAGTCAGGCTAGTCGCCGAAGCCGTAGAAATTGTACCCAGCGCAGTGCAGTCACATGTGTACTTGTGGGTGGGTGTGCATTAGCCTCTCTGCTAATATGTGGGTGCGCTTGCTTATGTGTATGTAAATAACACGACATTTTCGTATTTGCCAAACACCCTCACACACACACACACGCATACGTTCGCTAATTCAATAAGAGTCAAATCATGTCAGCTGCTTTCGTCCACTATAAAGGTTGCTTGGCAAACGGTATTTAATTTAAAACCGCCGCAGACGTGCAACGCGCCAATAGAGAATCGTCCGAAGCGTCCATTAAATCCACAAACCTCCAGCGCTTAGGAAGCTAACTGAGTGCACGCATACGCGTCGTATTCCGCGTTTTCCAAATAAAACAATTTTGTGAAATAATTTTTCGAATTTGCGAACGTTCAGTGTGTTTCGCGCGTCCGAGTCTGATTTAATAAATTTTGTTTAACTCAAAGCAGTAGAAAGCAGTCGGCAAGATGGTTGTCAACTTTAAGGTCTTTAAAAAGGTCTCACCCAACAACATGATCACCTTGTACATGAACAAGCGTGAATTCGTTGACTCCATAACGGTGGTGGAGCCAGTCGGTGAGTGAGCGTGTGTATGTGTTAATAAATTTTCATTTTCGGGCTACACTACATACACAGCCATGAAGTCATTAATCATCGGAGCTTTTGGTTTGACTATGAATTTGAATTATACTGACGGATAGTATAAAATTACAGAAGTCTGAACTTTGCGCAGAATTGAAAAATTAATGTTTAAAGATAAATGTAGACGCCCTTCGAGTAAAATAAAGCGTCGTCTAGCAGTGATACCTAACCGCTTATCGTAATACTTGTGAACTTTAGATTACCAAATAAAATAAATTAATTTGTTTAGGTCCAAAAAGTTTCGAAGACTTAACGAGCTTTTAAAAGCCCTTTTTGTGTAAATATTAAATAAAGCTAACGACTTTTAATATCACAGCTCAAGGTACCTAACTAACGGTTTTTATCTAAAATCTCGTACCGTTTTTCAAAAAACAGTAGTCATTTTTTATTTAGTAATAATACTTTTACCTAGAAATGCCACTGTGAATTGTCTGGAACCCTGCAACTGACTGTACTAATGCACTATTTTGCTACCTCGTCATTTCTACAATCTGTTAGCTTAGCCCTGGATAGCTTGGAATCATTGCAAGGAAGCTCATCAGTCTGGGAACGGGTTGGAGCTACAACGTCTTTTTACAATTTAGCACTGAACTGGACCCCGCGTGACCTGAAGGTTGCGCGGCTGTATGATCCTTCAGACCCAAGAAGTCCATTGAAGTACTTTCCTTCAGCTATGTTTATCATACGGTGCGGTTAAAGACTTGGTGGACGCTAACTATCAAAATTGAAAAGCAGAAACATCTCGATATTTTTTCTAGACTGTCCCGTTTCCGTTAGATTAAAGTTGAACCATTTTGTACGTCGTGATTTCGGTCTGCAATTTGGAAATTAGTCGACTAAACAGATTTTTTATAAACATAAAGCATTTCGACGTAGGTAAAGGTCACTTGATACTAATTAGGAGTTTTTTGTGTGACCAAGGATGACTTTTCAACTATCAGAATGAGATCCCCATCGTATAAGTCGGCAGGATCAGCCTAAAAGATGACCTTACACATATGTTGGCACGTAACTGTGTATTCATATCTTTCAAGCTTTACCAACAACAAACTACTTATGCTCTCTTCTCTGTTAATTATTTGAGAGAATGTTACGAGTATTTCTGCAGCACATACATATTTCACATGCAATACTGGGCTATGAACCGATTATAGTAGCCTTTTCCCTCCTAAATTTTAGGGTACCATTTATACTAAATTTTTTCTAGACAACTTCCTTAATAATGATCTATTTATTAAAAATAAGAATTATAATACAAGTAAGATTAATAAATTAGAATAAATCCCAGTTTGATCAATTTAAAAATATAATTTGAGAGTTCTAATATAATATGTTAATATACATTCTACTCAAGAAAGCATTACAGTTTGCAGATGGAAAGATAAGCATTTCCGAAACTCGTCCAAATTTTTTTCAAGCAATTCCTTGTTAGAAATAATTATATCATAAATGTGTTACAGATGGTATTATCGTTCTGGATGATGAATACGTACGGCAAAACCGTAAAATATACGTGCAACTCATCTGCAACTTCCGTTATGGACGCGAAGACGATGAAATGATCGGTCTGCGTTTCCAAAAAGAGCTTACACTCGTCTCGCAGCAGGTGTATCCACAGCAGAAGGTCGACATACAGCTGACCAAAATGCAGGAACGTTTACTAAAGAAGCTCGGCTCCAACGCTTTCCCATTCGTTATGGATTTGCCACCCAGTTCACCAGCTTCAGTAGTGCTGCAGCAGAAAGCCAACGATGAAACGCAACCTTGCGGTGTACAATATTTCGTGAAAGTCTTTACAGGCGATAGCGAATGTGATCGCTCACATCGTCGTAGCACCATTAATTTGGGTATACGGAAAGTACAGTACGCACCAAATAAGCAGGGCATACAGCCTTGTACAGTGGTACGGAAAGATTTTCTACTCTCACCCGGTGAACTGGAGCTGGAAGTCACGCTGGATAAGCAACTATATCATCACAGCGAGAAAATTGCTGTGAATATTTGTGTGCGTAATAATTCGAATAAGGTGGTAAAGAAGATCAAGACGATGGTACAGCAGGGTGTCGATGTGGTCCTCTTCCAGAATGGACAATTTCGCAATACGATTGCATTTGTGGAGACCAGTGAGGGTTGTCCGCTCAATCCGGGTTCCAGCTTGCAAAAGGTTATGTATTTGGTTCCGACCTTAGTGGCTAATTGTGACCGTGCTGGCATCGCCGTTGAGGGTGATGTGAAACGCAAGGAGACGTCCCTGGCATCGACTACTTTGTGAGTGACACCAAAGCACCTGATATGAGCTTTGTTTTTTAACTTTATATAATTCTTACAGGATCGCCAGTCAAGATGCGCGAGATGCTTTTGGCATTATCGTTTCGTACGCCGTAAAGGTCAAGCTGTTTCTGGGCGCTTTGGGAGGTGAACTATGTGCCGAGTTACCATTTATTTTGATGCATCCAAAGGTATTAATTTTAACTATAGTTTGTTAATTTTAATTGAATTTTCCGTCATAATTAGCCTTGGTGAGATTACAGTTTCTGAATTTAATCTTCTCCGTTTAAATTTCTGAGAGAGTAGTACTAATGTATTGAGGTTGTGTTTGTATAGCACAAAAGTTTCCGAAAGGAGTCCAGTCAACTCTACTAAAAGAAGCGCTCTCTAAAAGTGCAGAATGAAAAAAGTTGAAAACCTAAATAAATTTGTAAAATATGGTGATAAGACAACCTCTTCATCCCTTAAGCTGCTTTTCAGAAACAACTCGAGATCAACTTTTCTTAGAACTTACCTCCGTAGAACTTAAAAATCACTACGCATGCAGAGCCTTGTAACACCCAGAAAAAAACGTCGGAGACCCAATCAAGTATATATAAAAATAATCAGCCTGACGAATTAAATCGATTTAGTCCTTTTCTCCCCAAGAAGCTGCTCAATATATCTTCAGCAATGCTGCAATCACCGCACATATTGTTCAGATCTGACCACAATAGACGAAAGTTAATGCTTTTCATATTTTTTTATCGATGTTTTTCGATTATTACCAAAATTTACTAAGTTAAATGATTTTGAAGCATTGAGTATTAATAATATAACGCAGAGCGCAAAAAAAATCGATTAACCAATTTTTTCTCTCAACCATAATTTACTATTTCATGTTCATTTATTGATTCAGCAATTATATCGATTATATTTTCTCGCACTATTATGTTTTCACAGCCCAGCCGCAAAGCCCAGGAGGCCGAGGCAGAAGTAGAAGCTTAAGCCCTGCTGTACACTTGATTTACTTGAAAAAGAAATATTGCCGTAGAGAGTTTTTGATGATGTTGCTAATTATACTCTACAACTACTTACAAATGGACTTTGACAAATCCGCATTAATCCACTAGTCACAATTACGAAGTGCATTACTTATTTATATATTATATATACTGACATATTATACAAGTATAAGAATGTACTAGTATATGTATATTTATCCGAATAATTATTTATCAATGTGATTTATTTATTATATTTGGTTTGTTGAGAGGAGAGGAAACTTGAAGCTTGTTACTTTTAATTACGTGTTGTTAGCATTTGTTAGCTGCAATTAGTATATTTGTATGTATGTATGCAACAAAGTGCATAAGTATTGAATTTACTTCAAAAACAAAAAAAAATCTAAAATAAACTATGAAAATCTGAAAGAGTAACCATTCTTTAAACATATTTATGCGTTATATAAAAAAAAATTGTATGCATAGGACAGGAATATATTAAATATGACAATTTTTTTTGTAAGATAATAATAAGTTGCAATCGGCGTTCTCATACCTAAGAATTGTAACTGCTGTTTTTTTTTTGCGTTAAAAAATTTCGTCGCGCTCGCAGCATACAAACCCTATTACTTACAGTAAGGGAGTTAACTGCTCACGCATATATGAAAAAGTGATAAATCGTGATCAAAATGACGAGACGAGTTAAATTCCAAGCGACTGCCTATCTGTCGGTCCATTCGACCGTTTGTCTGTGCAAACGATAACTTAAGCACTACTACGTGCCTACTTCCCATACGAGTATAACACAACTTTAAATTCCATCTGATTTTTTCACTTTCCAGTGTACAAATCAATCTCTAATGAATATGGTCGATAAAACTTTGCACAAATAGTGCCTTTAAGGTATAGGGTATAGCTCAAAAAATCGTCAAAATCGGACCATAACTATTCCAGAACTCTTTCCTGAAAATAGTATGTCTGTATGTTAAAAATGGAGGAACTTCCGTTTTTCTAATAACGCTGCTTCTGTTTACCTAAAACAGACAAAATCGTGTAACTAATATCAAAATTTTCAAACATGCGGTTGACTTCATGCGTTATGTATAACGGGTGTTTTTTTTCGATGTATAGAACTTTATGTTGGCACTACTGTTCAAAATGAACCGATTGAACAGCTGTCAAGTGATTTATTTTCAGTTTGGTATGGCAATTCATCACGAATAGACTCACGCCTGCAATTTTATTTCGAAAATAATGGTTCTGTGCGGAATACGTATATCGCACTACGTTCATTTTATCATATGATGCGATGAAGCGCATCAACAAACAAAACTGCCGCATTTGGAGTGAAGCTTATCCTGAAGTTTATGTCCAAGCACCGTTACATCCAGAAAAACTGACTGTTTGGTGCGCTTTATGGGCTGGTGGAATCATTGGTCCGTACTTCTTAAAAAACGATGATGGCCAGAACGTTACAGTCAATGGTGATCGGTATAGAGCCATGATTACTAACTTTTTCATTCCTGAATTGAACAACCATGATGTCCAGGAGCTGTGGTTTCAACAAGACGGCGCAACATGTCACACAGCTCGTGCCACAATCGACTTATTGAAAGACACGTTTGGTGACCGCCTAATTTCACGTTTTGGACCTGTGTATTGGCCTCCAAGATCTTATGATTTAACACTGGTAGACTACTTTCTGCGGGGTTATGTAAAGTCATTGGTCTATGCGCATAAGCCACAAGCGCTTAACCATTTGGAAGACAACATTCGCCGTGTTATTGCCGATATACGGCACAAATGTTGGAAAAAGTCATCGAAAATTGGACGTCCAGATTGGACTACATCCGAGCCAGCTGTGGCGGTTATATGCCAGAAATCATATTTAAAATGTAAAGCCACAAGATTATCTTTCGGATAAATAAAGTTCATGTCAATCGAATAATCCATCCTTGTTTTATTGCAATTTAAAGTTCTATACCTCTAAAAAAAACACCCTTTATATTGGTGATGGTATGTGAAATACATTCATGAAACTCAGTGAACATCTGTTTCTGCTAATAATACATATATATATAGTATTGCCCAAAATAGGTAAAGTCGGGTCAGTACTAAACCTACCTCCCATATACCTAATAAAAAATGTTCAAACTTCGGGTTGGCCTTCTGCCATATATACCGGCCAGAACTATACTATAGTCCAATATCAAAAATATGTGAATTTAGTTTACGAATCACCCCAACTCCCGAATACGACCTATATTGACTTTCGTTATTCTAACGGACCTTATGCCGAACATGTCGTTCAATGTGTGAGTGATAAATTTATAAAATTGCTTGAAATTAGCGCTTTCTCTGTTCCCAATATAGCCTGTGTAATAATTTCCGACTCTCCACCTGACAAAATGTGTGATGTGTGTGTGATTAAATGAAGAAGTTTTCTTAAAAATTTTATAGGAACATTAATGAAATTGATCTAGAAATTGGTCTAAACCTTATTTCACCGAAATAATGAATTTCGATCCTCTGGTTGACATTTTTACATTGAAGTCATTATATTAAATTTATCTTCTTCAGTTGAGTTTATATCTCTTACATTTGAAGATGATTTTAATATAAGTTTAGCTGAAGCGAAGTGAAATATAGAAATAACACTAAGTGAATCCTTGACCTATAATATAACTTAATACCAAATTAATTTGTAATCCATTTATAATTTCATCGAATAATGCATGTTGAATTGTTTCGCAACATTCTTTAATATAAATAATATGGAGTAAAATTAACCGGAAGTTTGAAAATTCTGTGATTACTTATATGGGGCTAGGGCAAGTTTACACCCGATTTTGCTCATTTTGGATACAAATATGCATTATTAGATGAAAAATATATTCACTTAATTTTATTATACCGGATAAACCGGAAGTTCGAAATTATTTTGATAAGGTAACATTTATGGGGGTTAAGGAAAGTATTGACCCGATTCAATCCATCTTTGACATACAGGCATACTATTAACGGAAAGAGGCTCTCTTCGAATTGCAATAATATATCTCACAGATTGACCGTTATGGTACTTCCGTACAAAGTTAACACCAGGCACTGGGGTCTCCATATTTGGTAACTGGTAAATTGAGCAGTTATGGTCCGATTTTAACAATTTTTAAACATGAGATTGTATAGCTCAAAGGCACTATTTGTGCAAAGTTTTGTGCCGATATATTCATTGCCGCTTGATTTGTATGCTTGTATCTTGTGTACCAAGTTTCATCAAGATATCTTCATTTTTACTCAAGTTACAGCTTGCGCCAACGGACAGACAGTCACTCGGATTTCAACTCGTCTCGTCATCCTGATCATTTAAATATACATAACCCTATTTCTACCTCGAATTTTAGCAGATACATACAACCGTTAGGTGACCAAAAGTAGCAGCATCTTGCAAAAGTATAAGAGAGAGATAAGTCAGGGATCTGTCATATAAGAATATAAGTATGCAGTAAGCAGTCCCACTTGAAACCGGCAAATACTGCGTAAGACATTGCTTGACTACCATACAAGTAGTTAATTGTTTATTGCCCTAATTCAATCAGGAGAATATTGGAATATATATACTTTAGCTTGTTAATAAAGTTGCTGGATTGATAAGATTGAATTATCTGCTGTGTTGTTGTTGCTATGTCAAGTACTGCCAACCGGCTACTAATTTTAAAGAGCTATTTGGCCTCACTTCACTTGCAGCTGCGAAGGTGTTAAAATGTGTTGCAGTTGTTGTGGCGTTACTCAAGCAGAAAATATGGGTTTTCTATTAGCCGTTGTGTTCATTGTCTCAGGATTACTCTTCGTTATTTTGTGGACAGACTTTATAACCGATTAATATACAATGTGAGTTTTCACATTTGAGCTCATTACATTCTTGAAGAACTTTTAATAAAAGAACTTCGAAGATTCGCAATTTTTAAAAGCCTTCTAACATTACTAATACGTTTTTCTTCGCAGATGCTGCCACTTAGTCCTTGCTCGACCACATACGACAAATGGGTGCAAACACCCATACGGTCTACTTGTATATGTATCTCTTCAATTGGACAAATCCGGACCAGGTGCGCACAAATGGTGTTAAGCCAAATTTTCAGCAAGTGGGACCATTTGTTTATAGAGAGGACAAGCTTAAAGAAGATATAACCTGGTATTCAAACAAAACCGTGTCTTTTATGGGCAGCGTACATGGTACTTTGAACCCGAGATGTCGGGAGCGTCGCTGGATGACCTAGTAACTTGTCCGCATCTGCCCTCTTTGGTAAGGAAGTAGCAAACGCATTTGACATATTTGTAAACCACGTTCATTATTGCAGGCCGCAGCGAGCTTGATGCGAAATGAATCGAGAATCCTCAAATACGGTTTCAATATTGCATCAATAATAATGGTGGCGCTCTCATCAAACACACACTGCCGGTGAATGGCTTTCGATGGTTTTACGATCAGTTCCTGGACTATGCTATGAAACTAAATAGTTCGTTGACTGGCGCTGTCGATTCGAATCATTTTGCTTGGTTTCTTAATCGCAACGGCTCTAAAGAGTTCGAGGGTCTCTTCACCATACATACTGGTCAAGGCGATTTGAGTCAAATGGGTGAAATTAAATTTTGGAACGGTGCAAATCACACTGGCTTCTATGAGGGTGATTGCGGTCGCGTGAATGAAGTACTGCCGATCTGTGGGTACCGAATATTGGTCCCGAAGAGTACATCACTGTCTATATTACCGACACTTGCCGCATTATCAATCTGGTGCCAACCAGTGAAGTTGAAGTTGAAGGTATCAAAGGGACTATGTATGAAACGAACCGACACATTCGATAACGGTCAACGTAATTCCGATATGAAATGTTATTGTCCACCGGATAAACAACCCGACAATTGTCCGGCGACTGGTGTGACCGACCTCGGTCCATGCGCTTCTGGCGTACCCATGTACATGTCGCACCACAATTTCATGTATGCCGATGAGAGCTACTCAAGCACGATAACTGGTCTTGAACCCGATTATGAAAACACAATTTCTTCATAGTTATGGAGCGAAAACTGGGTATACCGTTGCAGGTGAATGCCAATGTCATGGTCAGCTTACACATAGAAACGACAGTGATATAACGTAAGTAACGAATTATTTTGGACAGGGTGTTTAGAATGTTAAGAAATATATATTTTATATAACTTCTTTTAAATTTAGCATATTGCGTAACATACCGGAGTTTTATGCGCCGCTTTTTGTGACTCTAGTAAGGCTGTAGTCAATAAGGAGCTTG